GGGAAAGTACATTAAGTCAATGGAGCCTCCAGCCGGAAAATAATTTATCTGAACCATGCCTTCTTCCTGTCATTTGAGATAGCAACAAAATTGTAAGTTAACATCTGCTTGCATAAAAAGGAACACAAGATTATAATTACAACCCAATGATAAAGTGCAAGTTCCCTAAAAAAAATCAACCAAGCTCCAAAATCTTAGAATAACTTCCAAAATATATTTACTTTTGGCAGTTACATGCTGCTCACATCTGCTAAAGTAAGGATTATTAAAAGTATTATTTAAATTAGTAATCAAGTCAAAATGGCTTGCTTTTGTGTTTCCCTCATGAGTCAAAGAAAAGGGAAGGAGGGAAGAGGATATTAATTGCAATGCATAATTTATCAGTGGCCAAAAAACCCATGTATGAGCTAAAATCCCAAATATCCATAAGTAAGACTATATTTTGGTGAAGCCACAGCACATCTGTATTTAAAGATTAATTTCTGTTTAAAGCCAGGTTTTTAAGCTTCACAAATTGGAAAAACATCACTCTTCAAAGATATACACCCCTCTCTGCAATGGTGTACTATTCCTAACATTTGTTCAGCTAGTCTTGGAACCTAGTATACCTAAAAGGAAACCTAAATTTTAAATGGTGATGTTACTAGAGTTTCTGTATGTTGTCATCACCTTAGAGGAATAATATACACATACATGACTGTATTACTAGACTTCCCTCTGTAATCCCAAATCTTATAATATGGGGCAGCTACCCACAAAGCTGATGCCTAATTTCTGACTAGAGGAGTCACCCGATCTGTCAGATAAACAAAACATGTATACATGATTGAGCTGTTCCAGGCACAGGCTAGCAGTATAGCCACACACAGACACATCTCCCTGTGTATAATATTCCTCAGGACTGTGTCAGCCTGGAAAACTACTGAAAGCTCAAACCATTAGGAAATGCCCGCGTCTAATGTTGACTGTCTGTAAGGTACATGTGAGAAAGGGAAATGCCACTAACAGAACCTTCATTCAGAACATGACTGCTTGTTCATATATGTTCAAAGTACATTAATAACTTCCACTGTTTTTTTCTGTACTGCCATATACATCAGCTGCAATTTTAAATACACTAGAAAGTTGAGAAAACTGCAGTAATAGAACTAAACAAAAAAGGATCACAAAGATTAAAAAAAAAACAACAAAGATTAAAGCACAGCTCATGAATACCTTCTCCTTGCCCCCTCAAAAGAACATACAAGATGTTGCTGAGGATATGGCCACATCCTTGCTCCTTTGCAGCCTAAATTACTGCAATTCTTCAACATGTGCTTATTAAGTATCTTGGACATTCAGCTAGCAAACTTAATTACTAAGTAGAAATATGTTGCTTTTCACTATTATTATTTATTTAAAGCCCATGCAGCTAGCTGAAAATACTTCTCTTTTTTTCAAATATATTTCTGAAATAATAGTTTTATTAAAAAATAAGAATATAGAATAACATCAGGAAGGTCACAGCTAAAGAGGAGTAGAGCTTTCTGGACCAGCTAAACACAAGGCATGCATGCAGTCATAAATATATATGCAGTAGGCTGTGAATGCAATAGCAGAAAGGTTGTGGGACATGCAACTGCCTGTCTCATGCATCAACTGTGGGCTTGGGGTTTAATGATTAATTAATCAATCCTACTTAGCAGCTCTACACAATAAAAAAACCCTAAACAAGCTGCATTTGCTGAAGAGATTCAAGAAATCAGTCCATTAGCGAGTGTGAATTTCTGCTACCATTCACAATTTCCACAAAGAGCTGCAGGCAGACAGCAAATCTAAAAATCAGACCACTTAGCTGGACAGACAGACTCCCCCTCACTTAATGGGTCTTTATTAAGACTGTGTCTTAAAAAGAATAATTTTGGAGATGTTAAAATAATGTACAAAGACCCAAGGAAAGAACTTGGGCAAGACTGTATTGTAATCACTTGAGAAGAAATGGTATCGTTGCACCAGTAGAACCTCTAAAACATCTAAAGACTTCTCTCACAAAAACCAAGGTAACTCAGATGCTGAGTATGTTGACAAGAGCAAGGCACATCTTTGATACAGCCATTCTTCATTCCTGTAAACTAGAAAGTGATACCTAATACAAAGTCAGGATTAGTTCCTGAACAGGATAAATCTGTGTATTTTGGAACTAAGGCTATTTTTCTTTTCTGTAGCTAAAAAAATATCACATCTCGAATCTACTGCTTCTCAGTAAAGGTAGTTTTAACTTGAAACAATACTGCTGCAAGATGTTCCTGCGCACATGGAATTGTGTAATATCAGCTCCAGACCAACCCTCTAAAATGCTGATCATCAAAGTTCTTGCAAACACAATAATTTTTTGGCTTGTTTCTCTTTGTGGAGATCCTCAAGACTACAGCAGATCAGCTCCTTCAGGGTGCAGGAGGAAGAACCAGCTGTAATTAGTGCCTGCCACTGCAAGCACTCACTTCCCTGGGGAAATTACAGTGACTACACTAAGTGGGGAGAACCCCCAGCTATCAAGTCTTTCTTACTCAGATGTAAAGATTTCTGAACTAGTAACTTGCATTTGCATTATGAACTGCACAAATAAGATCATATATTCTAGGAACATAATATCAGTGCGGGGCTTATTTTCAGAAACACATGTTGAAAAACTTGCTGTACATCCTGAATTCTTCTAATCCACATTTGTTGAGAGCAAAGCAAAAGAAAAAACATCAAGTGAAGAAAGACTAGGTCAACACACTGAATAAGAGAAGCACCAGAGAAGTACAAATGATCACTACACTTCAACTTCCGTTCTGAGCCTCTATTTGGGAAACATTCAAATCCAGTGTAGTGCAGATGCAACGCAATTATAAATCCATCTGCAAAATGCACAAAAGCCCATTGGCTGTCCTCCTTCATCTTTCTATTGTGCACACAAAAGGGTCACAGTTCACATCCTTGCATCAGCAAGATCCAATATCCTAAACAGTCGAAGAAATAAATACGGAATTGGAAACAGTGTCTCATAAGCTGATGTGAAGAACAGCATTATTTTTTAAGTTTAAAGTAAGACTTTCAGCAAGCAAGGGGCATAACAGAAAGGACAAGTCTGCAAAAACAAAGTATAGACAAAATGAGAAAATTAAAAGTTGTTGATGATGCTTTGCTGTCTGAAGAATTAATTGTAACAAATACTTAAGCTTTCCTAAGCAGGTAAATTATGATGAGCTAGGGGAAGAACAGGCTAATTTAAGATAAAATAGATGCATGCAGAGTGCCAAAGCCTGACAACATTCTCCCTGGAAGTCAGTGAAGAACTAACAATCTTGAAATTTAAGAACACCACATTTGTGTAGAACTGAGAAATTCTAACTGGTTATGGCACAAAGCAGCACTTCATATGTAATGAAAGAGGATGCAAGAAAATACTAACTGTAACCTACAATACTATTTAAATATCTCAAAGGGTTAACAAAAAGCAAAAAACGCACCATAACCAACCAAGTTGTCAAACTTGTTCTTCTGTTAATGAAATCAGCTAAGAGGATGAGAAAAAGCAAAACTATGGTTTGTTTAGTATAGCTTTTACCACTGTCTCAGAGATGAAGCTGAATAAATGCCATCATTGCAATACAGGATTACCACTAATGTTTTATAAATCCCTTGAACATTAGTTTTCAACACCTCACAAAGCATTACAGGTGGAAGTGAAGATGACTGTCCTGGACCCTACTCAGTGTTTTCAATAAGGACTCACAAGATGTAAAATAAAAGTCCATTGACTGATGGCACCAAGCTGGAAGTAGTAAAAAACACTTCAGAGAACAGATCATGAAAAATTACAAAGGTGGGGCAAAAACAGTAACATGAAATTCAAAGCTCTAAACTTCAAGAAATCACATATACAAATACAAAAAAAAGATCTAAGTAGTAAATTAAAATAAAGACTCAGAGTATTACAAGCAGCAAATTCACTGAGAGACATTACTACTTTCAATGTGATGAGGGAATAATTCTGTCATTAAAAATACTGCAGTTAGAGCCAAACTTATGTCCAGTTTGAGATACCACATTATCAAACTCTATAAACTAGAGAAGTCAAAGAAGAAAGAGTACTAGCAGAAGTAGAATGAACTTAATTGCTTTATTTCTAAAGAAACAAATAATTCTTCCAACAAAGCAGCATTTTTAAGCATGAACACAAAGAAATCAGTCTCAAATTTCAGAGACAGAATCACTTTTACTTGCACGTAATGGTGAGATCAAAACTTTAAAAGATTCCACAAAAAGAACTGAAATTTATATCCACCACAGGTACCTAGGATGAAGGCAGGACCTCTTACAGTATTTGTCTCATTAACTACTGAAATTTACCAGCCTATATTTTTATCAGTCACCTCAAGCTAAAACCCACAATTCCATTATTTGCTCAAGTTACTAACTTATCAAGGCTTTCACTGCTCCCCAAGCAGTCAAGGAAAAATATGCAGAAGCCAAGTAATCACTACAGTTGCCATAAAACATTCTGTGTAAATCCACTGGTACACAACCAATACACATAGATTAGCTATTATTGTAAATAGTTGAAGGCAACTTTTACTTGCACAGTAACATTAGTTTCCACACTGTGTCTTACCCATCATTTATAAAATTGTCTAAGGTGCACTTGCAGCATGGAGAAAAAATAAAAATATAGGTTATGAAATGGGAAAACAAAACACAACTCACAATAAATAAACAAACATGAACACAAATTAGGTGTTTGCATTTTCCTTGAGTCTAAAGCAAGTTAGGTCAGACACAGCTAAAGATGAAAGAAAAGCAACAAACAAAAAGTATATTTATACAGTGAAGAAATTAAATACACTAAAACTAAACTAGACATACAGTAAATTAAAACAAGAAAGAACTATACAAAGTCTAACAAAAAAGGAAGAATGAAATAAATGTTCTGACCCAGTATATTACTTCACTTTTCATTCTAATCACAAGGAAAATTAAGTGCGCATTTCTTACATTCAGAACTGACCTTAGATGTACATAATATATGTGGTTCTCCTTCAGGCTTTAATCCAATTATCTAAAGGAGAAAAAGTGAAAATATTTATAGACCCTCTTCCCCTTCCCACTTTTACAATCTGAATTCGAACTTTTTCCCCCACTTAATATTGAAGAGTTCATATAAAGAGAAAATCTATCTAGAATCATTTTTATATGAAGCACAATTTTAGACTAGAACTAAGATTTAAAGCATTATTAAGTTAAAGGTCAAATAGTTACAGCGGCCACAGAAAGGATTATTTTCTTATTTTACATTCAGCATATACCATTAATGCCTCAAGCTGGTTAGCAGTTCAAGTGATGTATAGTATCACAGAACAGTCAAATACTCAGTAAACTTTTAGGAGTTACAGAATGCATGACATTCTAATTATATTTTGAGAATGCAGACATTAATTAAAACACACTTTACCTGCACAGTGTTTTAGAGTCTGTTATATAGCATAAAGTATTGTACTCCTTAAAACAGGGGTTTGATATTTTGATGCAAGTAATCAAAGCAAATACTTGTATCAGAACGCTCAAAAAGCTCGCTTTATTTTACTCACTGAAACACATGAATTGCTAGACATTTCAGTAAATTACATTATTCCAAAAAATGCAAATGTCTTGAGAAGCAAACTGAACTCTTTCAGTCCTTTTCTACAGTCATTTTTCAAAGAGTGCTATTTAGAAGCACTTATACAAAGCACTAAAAAATAAGTAGGCACTTACTCTGTTCACTTTCACAATCACACAGGGAGTTCCTTTAGAATAACCAAAGGTCTCATCTTCCTTTCCAGAGCATTGTCCAAGCTGAGCGAGGTTAAAACGACATGCCTTTTTGACAGCAACACTGTTCTGATCAAAAATCTTTCCTGGTGTACAGTTTATGTTTTGCAATTGCTTTGAATCATCATACGCTATGGAACACAAAGAGCTTGTAAATCAATGGTATAAAGCATACAAGCAGCAAAAAATTGCAAAGGCCTATATAAACATCTATTTTCAGACTATTTTCAGCATTCTCTTACATTGATTTTTTTCAAAGCCTATCAAGAATCACAGAATCATCATGGTTGGAAAGGATGCCTAAGATCACAGAGTTCAACCATCAACACAAAAAACCCCACAACCTCAGCCACTAGAGCATGCCCTGAAGTACCAAATCTACGCAGCTTTTGAATACCTCCAGGGATGGTGACTCAATCAAGCTGTTCCAGTGCCTGACCAATCTTTCAGTTTAGAAATTCTTCCCAATATCCAACCATACCTCCCCTACTACAGCTTCAGACTATCTCCTCTGGTTCTATCATTATCTGCTTGGGAGAAGAGGCCAAAATTACAACCTTCTTTCAAGTAGTTATAGAGGGCAATGAGGTCTCCCCTCAACCTCCTTTAAAGAATTCTCACTCAGTTACCAAGCCATTTAGATAAAGACCAATCAATTAACTTTTTGATAAAATTTGTCTCTGAATACAGCTATGTAATTATGCACTGAATTCTTTTGGCATATGTAATTTCTACATCTTATAGTATTTAAACAACCATGTCATTAAAACACTAGACTAGGATCCAAAACTTTCCATTATGTATTCCACTATTCCTGATGCTCCCTGTCCAATACTGATACAGGTACTGATACCTAATTTTTACTGCAAAGTATATACTTCAATAACACACATCTAGAGTAAGCTGAACTTGAATCAGTTTTCATTAGCAATTATTAACTACAAGCAAAAAAGGAAACTAATGTACTCAACATTAGGACTCCTGAGCTACTTGAAGAGTTTTAAGTAAATTACTTACATCCAAGAAATCTTCTAAGTCTAGAAACATAATCTGCATAAGAGCCTGCATCACTCTTGTTAAAGTAAAATTCCAATGCAGTGTCTGGCTTTGGTGATATCATAAGTCCTTAAAAAGAAAAAGTGCAAGTAAAGAACTCAACAGCTTCTCTTCCCTGCATCACTCTAACCTACTTAAAAAACATATTGATCAATTGGAAAAAAATCTATCTGTAAAAAACCAGTGTTACCCCCATATTCCACAATACTGGAAAGTAATTTGTTTGAAGTCAGTTATCAAAATCAACATTACATTAATTAATACTGAAATTCCATCCAACGTAAAACTGCAATTCAAAAATCAAACCCAACTGATTAGGAATAGCAAAATCACAACTTAATCACTTTCAATCAAAGAATTTTACTTAATTCACTTTCCATATTGAGCAAATTACACTTAAAAATAATCAAGAAAATACCCAAAACCACACCCAGAAAGCCTCCAGTTAAAGCAATGCTTCAAAGCTTTAGGCAATAGAGAGTGAAGCTATGATTGTATTAATCTTATTGCAACCCACAAGAACCAAAATATTTTTTAAAACTTTATAATGCATAAAATGGCTTGAAAGATTTCCCAAGTCAAAACAGACAAGCAGAGTTAGTTGTTAATCCTTTCCTCCTCAAACAGAAAGTTTAGATGTCATCTGTTTCATGGAGAAAACATGAAACTTTGCCAAACCACTGCACACACGTCACTTGAAAGGGGTGCTACTTAGGCTGTGGTAACTACCAACACTCTTGAGCTGCCTCCTGGGCACTGCAGCAGTGAGGGTTCCCCAGCCCGCTGCAGTGGGGCCAACGGCTGGCTTCATTCAGCTGCTGGCTGAGGGCACCGGAACAGGAGCAATCTACAGCCAAAGAGCCAGGACCGGCAGGAGAAACAAGGACACAGATTATCCAATGCTGAAGTCCAGCTTTGTGTTGAAGGATGAAAAGGGCAAAACACTGACTGGAGTTTGGGCCCTTGATAGAGGTGAACTGTACTTCTTCCCAGGATATGGGTAAAGAAAGGTACAGACTTAAATCACTGGGATGTTTTTGTAGCAGGTAAATCAAAAGGCACACTCCACTAATCCGTACAGCCCTGCTTCAGGAGAGGTGTCACTAACCTAATGCTACTATTCATCATAGCTTCAGTACTACAGGAAATAGCACCACACCACCAGAAATTGCAAAAGAGATTAATTCTGTTCAAAAAAGATGCATGATTGATTGCTTTTTTCACACTACCTTAAGCTAACTCGTATTTGATGTATGTCATTAACATGGATAAAACGCCTGAAGTTGTGTTTAACATATGAATGTCCATACATCTGTCTCTTCAAGTATAGCTGAAGACTGACAACTCAAAACCACAAAAAAAAATCCAAACTAAAAACAAACAAGAAAACCAAACCATCCTATTTTCAATTAGCTAGTTTTCTTCAAAGTTAGAATATTAAGATGGTTTGGACAATGTCAAATTCAGCTTAAAGTGAGAGAGTCAACTAGAGCAGCAATGAATTGTATCAGCTTAGGATGTCATGTAGTTTCCTATCCTCTGGCAAAACCAATTAAAACTAGAATCCCAAATGAATAAAATTTAAGGCAGAAAACAAAATTCATCTCCCAAAATTAAAAAATAAAATCATACCTTCTCTGTACCAAATAAACACTTAGGAAGATAGGACTCTAGTAGGAAGATTAAGTGGGTAAGTTGTCTTAATGGTAGATTCTTAATACACTACTGTAGTTACGCAATCCCAATAAGCTTTTGGAAAACATACAGAAAGTGCAATTAAGCAGTCCAGGTCTACTAATTATTTACCTGTAGAAATGACCAAGCTTCTAATCTGAAGACAGAAATTACAAGCACTTTAAAAGTGAAGTAAAAAGTAACAGTAATAAGGGGGAAAAAAATCACTGAAGAGCTTTTACACACTAAGGGAATTTGAGGGACAAAAGACTGTTAGTATCTATAGAATTACACTAAATTAAGTACTCATGCTGTTTTTCAAAGTGAATATTACAAACTAACTAAACTAGTCATCAGTTAATTAAACAATAATTTGAAGATATTTACTGCTTCAGGGGAACTTCAAAAACATCTTAAGATGAAGTGCCTGCTCCAATTCCAGTGGATCATAGTCTGTCTACAGACTATGCTCTAAATTCTATAGAAAAAGCTATCTGAAGAAGGACTGATGCACAGACTGACAGAAATGCAGGATTTGGACTTGTCTAGATAAACAGAATTAGCAGGCTTAACACAGGATCACATCTAGGATTATAACGAGATTAAATTATCCAACAACTCCAAGAGGGATTTTAAAAAGGTTTTTAAATCAACTGGATTTGATTGGTACTATCATATACCAGTGGACAATGCAACTCAAATATCAATTATAAAATAAATAAACGGTGAGATTTTTAAGTATGTTTCACACAAGAGTAAAACCTTTGACCTACGCCATCCAGGTTTTGTGTGTAGATTTTTTTTATAATTTAAAGTTTTACAGCCAGGAACATGACATGTTTCACTGCAAGTGAAAAACGACAGAGTTAAAAAGAAACATTAAAACAGAAACAAGCAATTTTATTAACTTCTTATGTATGAGTAATTGAAGACTTATTATTAATTTTAAAAAAAGTAATTTAAAAATGTTATAGGAATTCTTAAGTTAAAAACTAATTGTGACATATAAACTTTTTAAAGCAAACATTCATATGACTTATTTCAAAACAAAGGAAAATTAATACCCTGAACTGCAAGAGAAAAAAATGTCACTCAAGTCCATCACTGAGTCACAACTCACAGCTCCATCCACTACCAAAATTTTGATTACCACAAAGGAAATGAGGAGGAATAATCAACCAAGTCAAACTTTTTCTTTTTTCCCTTTTTTTTTTGAAAAACAGAAGGTCTTTACTATTATAATTTTTTCCCCAGCATTTGGCCCATTCTTAGCTTGAAAAAAGAGCAGAAGTCCTCAAGAATCCCTTATCAGATGGGAATACTTGTTAGAGAAGGCCTGAATACTGCATCAAAATTAATTCTGTTCAAAATCCAGAGGCCTAATTGCAATTTGCACACACAAGACTACTGCATCAACTTATGTGTTCATGCAGCTGAAGATGGTGGTTAAGTTTAAGGATTTGGAGTTCAAAAAAGGAAAAAGTATTTTAAAAAAATAATGGTGCCTTAACTTCCACAATAATATTAATATTGCATAGCCATTTAGTTTTCTTGTGTTTTAAACATAAATTTGCTCTCTAAGCCAAGCTGTTATAAAATCTGAAGTATCTTCTTAACTTTGCAGATAGTCCAACCATTTAGATTGCATAAACAAATCAAATACTTAAGACATTCTCCAGAAATAATAAATAGAAAACACTAATCTCTGGTGTAGTTACAACTACGAAGAAGCATCTTTTAAATCTTTCACAGTGAAAATCCTGCTTTTTTTTCCAATATGGAGTCACACCAAAATAAAAGTCTAAGACAGATTTTTGTGATATCCTTAAACAAATCTTAAAAAAAAAAAAAAGGGAAAAAAAATTAAAAAGACAACCACCATATTATTAGCTTTGTTTGTAAAGTTCTTTTTCTATCACATACAGCTCTTTGAGCCAGCGAACAGTGGGATAGCAAGGTACACAAGTTCCAAGAAGCTTATTTTTAGTGGCACTTTTAGTGGCAGCAATGGGAGCTCAAGTCTCTCCAGTGGATCCCAGCATAACAGGTCAACTACCCCTTGAACCCACAAACATTCCATGTTGGTTGCAAGCCACCTAATACTACAGTGAAAACTCTGAAAAAGTCTTCGTATCTTGAGCACACCACCCCCACAAGTGCATCCTTCCTGTATCAAATACAAATCCCAGGCAGACTTCCACCTGATACAAGAGAACTGATTTATAATATCTTCAAAGCAATTGGATTACATGATAATCCCACTTCTGCAATTGCATGTTGTGTGGATGTGCAGGTAGAATTGCAGTCTAGATACGTGACAAGTTCAACAGAAAAAAAAAAAGTTGGCCCATGTGCCCAAAAAGCTACTGACTGAATTTATATAACTTGCCTCACACCAGGTTTTACCTTTGGAACCCGTAACTGAATAATAACCAGTTTCCCAGAGGCAGTTGATACTTCAAACAAACTCTCAAATGTAACTTTGCTAATAAACAAGACTGAGGTTTATGAAAAAAATAAATACACGGTTACCTGGACTAGAAATCCGGTCACGGTATTTTGGTATATCATTGCTCAGTGTCTGAAGCATAACCCACATTGTGAATGTGAAGAGTGCTGCCAGGAAGCCATAAAATACCAGATAGAATAGTAAGATCAAACCTGTAAAGAAAAAGCTAAAATTACTATTTTTATTTCAGCTAATTCCATCACCTATTTTGAAAATAAAAATGGGAAACAAGCAATATTTGAGAGTTTACTTATGGTTGCCCCCCTAATCCCTTGCTGCTCCTAATCGCAGTTGTATATAAGTGTGCCTCTAGAATACAAATGTATTGCAGACTGCAGACTCATGTACGCAATTCTTCGTATTTTTGGCTCTTGAAATTGACAGGTCATTTTGGCTCCTCCATTTTTAAGAGAAGCATTAAAAAACATTCTTTGGCTGCACAGGAAAACTGATAAAGATGACTAAGCAGTACATCAGAAAAAAATACTCACTTGGTTAAGGAAATTATAGTTTTGCATTTGGAAAGGAAGGGGTAACTAGGTAAGACAAAAGAACTGAGTGAAAAGATAAAATTATTATACTGGATCCAGAGCAGGTAGGAAGCAACTGATGTTTGAACAACATACTTGGTATTAGAGAGAACACAGAAATTCAATCACACAGAGCACTCACTCACATGTACATCCTGGTACAACAGACATCTCAAGGTGAAAATGCTTCCTGCTGCCTATTTCTTAAAACAAACCAAGCCTTCCATTCAGATTTACCAAAAATCTTGGCCTAAAGAAACCAGCTTTACCAATCTACCCCTGAGATTCAGCAACCTTCTTGAAATTCACCCAAATGTTACAAGCTTCAACTTGACAGTTGCTTAAGGAAGTACAGCCTCAAGGAAACAGTCTATTTTGAAGCTATACTTCTCCATCACTTAGCTGCAAACAAATCCAGAAGCGTTCCCCATTTTTCTCTCCCCCTTCCCCCCATTTTTCATTATGCATGCACAGACATGCACTCTGGATACACATATTGGTTGTTTACTGAAAAAACAAGGTATCAGGTCAAAGTTAAAATCTTCAGAGATTATAGGTACTCAGATCAGCTGCAGAAATCTTTCAAAGAACTTTCTACCCTTTTTCTCAGATGTATGATGCATAACCTCCATTTAAAAGCTTTCAGAAATTTGGGACAGCTCAACTATTTTCACAACTAAGTTTTGTATTCTTGCATTTTTTTTCACCCTGATGGACCCATATTAGTGTATCAAATTAAAGAAATAAAATAACAGTATACTGTTTACTACATTTCCTTGGTTTTGCTTTCAGAAGTTCTGAGAATACGTATTGATGATTACTATCAGATCACCTTTTAAAAATTTATGTTTACCAGAAGAGAGTTCCCGCACATCTACTATACAGATGGAAGACTTACTAAGACATTTAAGATCAAATAGAAGTTGTTTTATTAATCGAGTATAATATATTAAAAAGAGTGTGTGATTCTGTTTAAAGACTGAACACTTGAGATTTAAGGACACATGCACAGACATTGTTCAAAAAGAATGGGAGCTATACAGGTACTGAAGTACTAGGGTACCTGCACAGAGGGATCTTCAAAACCTTTTCTAATTCAAAACCACAACCAAACAATGACGTAAATTCAATTTTTAGAAAATATTCGAGCCATAAGACTGCTATCAGGAAGCCAAAGAGATTTAACTTCAGACAAGAAAAGCACATCAAAACCATTATGCAGTCTCATCAGTGATGAGTACTGCACAGTCAAAGATGAAAGAAGAAAGCCTAACCCCTGGCTCCTGTCCCAGAAACTATGCTTGCATTTTGCACTTAATTATTTTCTAGTGTACTTCAGCCCCCAGTAATCCATGACTACTAAAGATGCAAGTACCTGTATTATTTCTGAAATAATCTGGTGTACATATATTAAAATAAGGCAGATCCCAAATTACCTTTACTGTAATATAAGTTCCCTGTACCAACCAGCTGAATGTTACTGGACTCTGGTACGGTTTTAGTTTCCAGGTTTGTATGTTGAGAAAGTTACTTACTATTCTGTAATAATCTGGAAGTGATCATATCAGACACAACAGTGACTAGAAGTAGCAAAGTACACAAACATAGGAATAAGCTTACTCTATAATGAACAAGCCAGCTAGACATCTACTATAAACTATTTCTAAGGCTATTTAGAAGCTATATAGAAGTTGAAAAGAGCATACAAAAATAGAAATCCTAATCAACAAAAGCCATGACAAAAGTTTCATATGTATTGGGTACATCAGCAATTTGCTTTAACTGGATCTAAAACAGAGTAATGATTTTCTGATCTTAACAGCCAACATATTTTGGTATCACAAATCCAATCAACCAACACTCACTTTCAAAGCCTTTGGTCAGCTCTCCTGATTCCTACAAATTAATCAATTATTGAATACATTTTCATTCAGCAGTCTAGAAAGTACACTCTCCATCAAGTGACCAAGACATTTATCAACCAGTTTCAATGAAACAGAAACAAAGTTTTAAGACAAGACAAGCATCTACTGTGGTCATTGCACAAAAGCAAGAAAGTCAGGAAAATGTTTTCATTGAGCTATTTCATAACACATGTATTTTAATTTCAAAATAATCTTACTGGGTAAAAAAAAAATAAATTAAAAATCCTTGCCCACTTGTTTATTGCTGATGGGCATGACAGCAGCATGGTGGAGCACTTCTAAGCAGACATCACAGCCCTAAGTATAGTACTGCTTTGGGCCAATACTACCATAATATCTGCAACACTGGAGTCCATTTTGAAGCACCCTAAAGAGCTGATCCAAGCCTGCAGCAGCTCTCTTCCGTTGTTACCTCAGTCTAGGCAATGGTGCCTATCCAGCTACACAGTCCTCTTGACTCCAGCAGGGAAGGTGAGCTGCTAACACCCCTTTCCCTGCCAAAAGCTGCACAGAGACAGCACTGATATACATATATATACATACGGCTCCTTGGGGAGCCTTCATGCACCAATGTTGGTGAAAACTGGAGGGACCCCAATGTCTAAAACACAGTCATCAACTCTGTGGCAGACACTGCAGTATGAAGAGACCCTTAGGGAGTCCTTGTCTTTCCCAGCAACATCATACCCATTGTGGCTGCAGCAGTAACAAGCCAGATTTCTATTCACAGTCCTGAAACTCCACTAGTCTCCTCCAGCCCAGCAAAGGACACACGCTGATATTTTTACTTTTTATTTTAATATAGTTTGTAAATGCACTGGACCACTAAACTGCTCCCTTTATGCTACTTTGCCACACTAAGAAAAGGGGGAAAAAAACAAACAACAAAAAAATCCTCTGCAACTTCCAAATGGCCCCAAACTGAGTAAGCTGCTCTTTGTGAGCCTATTAGTATTAATTATCCTAAGCTAATCACAGTGAACAAGCCATAACCTGTCAAGAAGCGCTGCCAACATAACTTCACGCAACACTGGATTTCTTGTCCAGAAACAAAATATACCTAAGTAAGAGTGGAAAGGTATCCTCCACAGGTACTCCATGGAAAGCACAGCTACCACATCTAACATGCAACTCAGTTCAGTTATTACACAGTATCTTGCTACACCAAACCCCTTGAGTCTCTCAGTCTTTGACACTAAAGCTATCACACAGGAAAACTGTCAAAACCAAAATTCTGCATTACAGTTTACCTAGTTGGGGTTTTTTTGGTTGCTCTATTTTTCTTTTTGCAAGGCATCACAGTACCAAAAACCCTCTCATATCCTAAACAGATGGATAAATAACAGTAAAATCTGGAAAACTTCTATTTCTGAACCAAGATGTCATCACTAGTTCATTTGCAGGGATCAAAACAATTCTGCAGTATGAAAATCATGTCTGACTGGTGAATGGAAAATATCACATACCTGTTTCCATGAGCAACACAACCTTTCCAAACTTTACACGGCAAAACTGATAAAAGGCATGTCATCTAGCATGAACCATTGTCAGATCTACCTATACATAATACACAGACAGATATCTACAGGTATCAATATAAACACTCCCACAACAGACATGAAAGCAATTATTTAACATTACCTGCAAAAATTAAAATGAAAAGCTGCTCTTATGGATTGTTGGATTCCATGCTGCATTGATCCTATCACCTGCATGATCATTCTTCAGTACCTCTAATGAGTGGGATTTAAATACCTAAGTAATGTTACTAATGACTACCACCAATACCAGCAACATTAGGAAGGACTTTTGGTCACCCACATCTAGATTTCCTTGTCTTCAACTAGCATACATATTATATAAGCACTAATCATATCTCAACTTTATTCCCTAGATTCTTGAGAAACACTGTTTTCCAAATTTGGGGGATCTTAGGGGGAGGGAGAGGAAGAAAGAGGGAAGACTTGAGGAAGAAAGAAAATCTCGGTCCTATGTTACAGTTTATTTCACAATAAGCCAGGGGTCTGCATATAGCATGGCTAATCCCCAACCCTAAAATACCCTCACTGTACCACCAGAGATTACGAATACCTGCAGAAAGAAAAGGCAAGACTTCTTTCTTCAGAGTGGTCTGTGTCATGGAAAATAAAACATTCTACAGATTTCTAAAATACTCACTTCTTACTATAGGCAGTACCATGGAAAATGGCTGCAGTAATTTTCCTGGCTGTGCACAAATTTTTGCAGGAACTTTCTGCAGCAATACAAAAAGAGTGCCATGTCTCTCTGATTCACATCTTGGATATGTAAATGCTTCTACTGCTATGATAGACAGTGAGACCATAATGTTTAATAATAAGCTACCTGTGAAGAAAGTTAAATCACAACAAAACCCTGCTCAAAACATTGATAAAGAACACAGAGGAGTCAACTGAAATAATCAGCTAAAACTTTGAGAGCACTGTATGCCCCAGCAAAAACTCAGTGAAGACTAAACAGAAGCAAAACTGGATCTTTTGTTACAGTCAATGACCAAATTGCATATCCATTGCCATGGTGGAAAGCTTCCTGAAAAATTCGGAGTTGGGTTTTGTTGGTGATTTTTTTTTCTGTTTTTTTTTTTCTCGCTTGTTGAACTTCAAGCATGCATTTGTGCACTGAAGAATACAGCTAAGTATGCAAAAGAACATTCTGTAGGTCCAAATTTCTGTGCATTTGAAGACAGTGCCACCTCTACTTGGAACACCTTGACACAGCTAGCTTACAGAAAGGCTTAAATAGACTTGACATGACATCTAGTGTGACCATAGATGAAGTATTGCTAGACTCTAAATTGCTGTCTTTTTTTTTTTTTTGTTTTTTTTTTTTTTTGTCTTTTTTTTTTTTTTTTTTTGTTTTTTTTTTTTTTTGTCTTTTTTTTTTTTTTTTTTTGTTTTTTTTTTTTTTTGTCTTTTTTTTTTTTTTTTTTTGTTTTTTTTTTTTTTTGTCTTTTTTTTTTTTTTTTTTTGTTTTTTTTTTTTTTTGTCTTTTTTTTTTTTTTTTTTTGTTTTTTTTTTTTTTTGTCTTTTTTTTTTTTTTTCTGGTGCAGGGACACACAAATTAATATTCTGTAACCTTGACTAGAAAGCGTTTACTGTCTATATTGCAAAATTATGTACAGATTTGAGTGTGTAATGAGCATACTGTTACAATACATTCGTAATGTTCTCACTGAGTTCTTGCTACAATTCTAGGCAGGCACAGCACCTTGCGTGGAACCCCAGGACAGGCCCTCCTTCCTGTCATCTCCTCTTCGAGGACTATTAGCACCCCTTATGTTTTGTTGCCAAGATTTCCACCAATTCAAGTAATCCACATTTTTTCCCAATATTTTCTGTTCCTTTAATACAATAAATTATTATGCCAGATAATAAAAAACGTATGGGTTTTGGTGTTTTTTTTCTGTATATAGATTTAACTGAATTAACTCTTAAGTCTGCAAAAAAATAAGGATCTCTCATTTTTTACAGCAAGAGGAAATGTAGTACAAGGTTTTTACTAAACTGTAGAAGGCAAATCTTTACCAAACTCTAAAAGGCAACATACCTCTGTTACATGACAAGCTTGTATTAGATCTTTTTAAAATCCTGGCATAGAAATGGCAAACAAAGATGAGTGCTTCACTGCCAGTTTTCAGATTCACAGAGAATCACTGCCTTACAGTTACAGTAAGCCCCCAGGACTGTCTCACGCTAGAGCAAAACATGCACATACTGTTAGTAAGTATTTAACAGTTTCTTAAGCGCTTCTGTCCTATTTCTTATTTCAAGAAATATCTTACTTCAAGACAGAAAGCCGTCTTAGGACAAGAGAAATAAGTATGAAAGAATTAGAGGCAACTGAATTCTTATGCTGCCTCTGGAAATAACACAGCCCAGCAGACTGGCAACCAGAGCTTTCCTCTCCTACCTTCCCACCTTCCAGAGGGGAGACCGACAACAGAAAAGGAGCAATTGTGAGACACTCAGTAAGTGGTCTGCAATTAAAAAAACAAACAAAAAACCAAGCAGAAAGCCACACACCAACTCCCCAGTCAAAGACTATATTTAACTCAGTATATATAATTTTTTAATGCACAATATGTTAATCACAAAATGCCAGGAGAAATACATATTGACAAAAAAAATCCACTGACAACGTAGTGTTGCTAAACAGTCACTTCTTATTGTCCAGGCTAAGGAAAAGGTATCTAGCACCATCCACATACCAATCACCTAAACAACTTAATAAAACTTAATAATGAAGTAAAATAATTCAAACTATTATCTAAGCCTGCAGATACTTTCCCAATGCAGAAAAAACATATGGAGGGAGCTGGCTGCAGAAACTCAATTACCAACTAGGTTGTACCAATTTCAAATGTTACCTATTGGCCTCGGACCAGCACAGACTAGTAACATAAGTGACTTATCCTACTAGATAGGTTTAAACAGAGGTTACTTCAACTTCACTTTCTTAAAAAAGCTACAAGCTATTTCTAACGTGCCCACAGCCTTTGCGCTTGTCAGATTCATGATGACACAGACTTCTGCGATCCATACACGCATCCATCCAGCCCACACACTTCAGGAAACCTGCCTGTACAGAGATCACTAGACAACAGCATAGTGGAAATTTCCTCTCCGTTGCTATTCAACTGGCAGAGCAGCTAGCAAGCTCTTATTTCCATCTGAATGGAGGAGAACTCATGCAAGAGCTAGGGCCCTCTCTTGACAGACAGGAGACATTGGCACCGCAAAGAAAGAACACTCCATGCATAGTCTGCTTAAGGCTCCTCCCCGTTATTTCAACATTACTATTCATTGAGATCGTGTCAAGGCCAAGGATGTGTCGGCCTGTTCCTTTATGCCACGCTGAGATTCTTGTTGGTTTTGTAAGTAGAACTATTGAGTATTCCAACTACATCCAAGTTTTGGGAAGAGATGCAGCATTTTCTGAACTCAGTAAATATGTCCCATGAGGACTGAAGAAACATCCTAATAATAAGGATTTATACAACTGTTTAATATGAGAAAACATACTCAGAAAATGCAAATATTTTTACTGGGAGCAACAAGATTATGATAACATGCTTTCCAGTTCAGAGAAAAGCAATGGGAAGACTACCTGAAAGCAGGAAAATAAACACTGCCTTCACAGGCTTTACTGGCGAATCTTCATTTAAAACCTTAATTTAAGAAAAATGAAAGTCTCCGAAGCCCTGTGTTGGAACAAATTTAGCACAATCACATACAGCGATCGTTCTTTAGTATGTTATCTGGCACTTGGGTTCAAACTTTTGGGGTTTTTAGAGGTTTTTTTCCTCTCCGTCTCTGACCCGCAGCTACCGCCTGGAACTATAAAGGCAAATCGCGCCCATTCATTCTCCATCTCCTGCGATGCTGGAGAGCGGGGGCGCGGTAAGGAACGGATGGAGACGAGCGGCTGCACGGACATGCAGGCAGGCTGCCACCATCTGAGGAGCCGGGCGCGGGGCGGGAGCCGGCCCCGCACCTCTGCGGCGGAAACCCGTCACCGCCGCACCGCGGCGCCCCCGGAGCGGGCGGAGGAGGAGGCTGCGGGGCCCCTTGCTGCATTTGCGTACTGCG